GGGGGTGAAGGGTGGGGTGGGGTAATGTGGGGGTGAAGGGTGGGGTGGGGTAATGTGGGGGTGAAGGGTGGGGTGGGGTAATGTGGGGGTGAAGGGTGGGGTGGGGTAATGTGGGGGTGAAGGGTGGGGTGGGGTAATGTGGGGGTGAAGGGTGGGGTGGGGGTAATGTGGGGGTGAAGGGTGGGGTGGGGTAATGTGGGGGTGAAGGGTGGGGTGGGGTAATGTGGGGGTGAAGGGTGGGGTGGGGTAATGTGGGGGTGAAGGGTGGGGTGGGGTAATGTGGGGGTGAAGGGTGGGGTGGGGTAATGTGGGGGTGAAGGGTGGGGTGGGGTAATGTGGGGGTGAAGGGTGGGAGTAATCTTCTGCAGCTGGGTGGACATGCAATTAAAATCTAAATCACACACTAGGAGTAAATGTACAAACACCTGCTGAAATTCACATTATTTGAATTATAAACTGATCAAAGAAACCTTAGAAACAACTCCTGTACGATAAGAGTATTGGAATATTGTAATTACCACATTAGACATACATCATTGGGAGATGTCTAATCCACGTCATTCACATTTAGGCACATGCACTTCTAATAGAGGTAATACTGTGTTTAAAATCATAACTGCAAACAGTGATCTGTCTGGTTCCCAGTGACCAATATAAATAAATATACTGGATTCTGCCATAAATTTGCCCTGGGCCGTTAAACAGCAGTTCGGGTTTTTAAACAAGCAGCCTGTCAGCTGAGATAGCTCTGCTGTTAGCAAGGCACATTTCAATTAAAGAACAGAAGATATCATTAGAAAACGAAAAATATGTATAGTATCAAAGCAATCGGACTTGAGGTTTTTAACAAGAAGTCGAAAATATCACTTTCTACCAAAAATGACAAAAATATTCACCAAAATTAGAGAATTAAAGATATTATCACGAAATGAACAAATCTGAGAGAGGTCCACATGTCGTACCTATACAACTGCATATTCAAGCAAACAACTGGCTCAGACAAGTCACCTGATTCCTGTCATATGATCTTCAACATTGTCATTTTCGAGTGCAAGGGAGGTTTAAATCTTCACTAAGCTTTGTCGTGACCAATGCAAAAGGGTCTCTCAGGCCTATTTTATTTAGAGGTCATTTTGGACCAAGCTATCTATGACTAGAAAATTCTAGTGATGCTGGTAAAAGTACATGTGAACAAAATTAATTTTTTTTATATTTGACATTAACCAATATGAAAAATTCAAACATTCGTTTTTTATTTTTTTTTCAGCACAAAACATTCACGCTTTATGAAAATGGACTTTAATTGTACTGTCTACTTTTGATGACAAGAGCATGTCCCTGGTGGGAGAGTTCCATTGTGCTCACAACAAAGCATGATTAATTGTTCCAAAATGGGAGACATTTTCTATACTGATGTTAAAAGACCTGTATTTTATAGCCAAACTAATTGTGAACCTGACATAAATTATGAACAATATTGAAGAGATAACAATTATGACACACAGTGAGTTATTATCCAGTGAACATTTCTATCACCTATAAACCAGTTTTCACGTCACAACAGCTACACAAGATCAATAAATTACATTTGGTTCATTTCATTGTCTGCAAATCCTACAGGTACTGGGCATCCAAAAGTAATCGTAAAAATAATGTCCCAATGGGAGAAAAATTATTAGTCATCGAGTCAATTCACAATTCCAAATATACTTATATATTAAGTTTTTTATATTTATGAAGAGAAAAGCCAGCAAATTAAAAATTATTGATTGGTTATTAAACATTCAGAACATCCCAACAAGAAGAATTTGAGCAAAGGTTAAAGATGATATCAAAAGTATTTGAGAACTCAAAGTTAAATACAACATCAAAAGTAACTTACATCATCCCACTGTGAATGCACATCAAGAGGAGGTGCTGCCTGCTTTAACATGGTTTTAAAAGAGCTCTCTTTTCTTCTCTGTTTTCTAGTTTCTTCCTTCTGTCTTTCCTTTTCCCTTGCTTCAGCCTTTTCTATCAACTAAACAGGCAATGAGGTGAAATTTAATCATTTTTTGACGTGAAAATGTTACAGCTAATACAGGGCAAAGATAAGCGAAACTAACCAGAGATGAAATTATTTGACTTCAGGGATTTTAAGTGATTAGTGAACAAGTTGTAATTTAGTATAGGTGCAAAAAGTACATTACTTTATCTTCTTTTTTGATCCTCTGAGAACAAACTAAATCAAATTATCGCACACACTGGCATGAATTATATTGTGTAGGAGTTTTGAGTTTAATAAACTGTCTACTTTATAGTAGAATATAAACACCATATTGTATAGTCACAATGATTTCAGAATTGCAATATTCCATACTGTAGATTTGTTTGAAGCTTTCATAAATGACAAAGCTGATAGTATATTGCAGATAATGACAATACATTGTATTATATGTACACGAATAATAAAAATAATAGTGATAATATTCAATCAAATAGAGTACACACATTGCCACAAGGTACACATATCACCAGAGTACACACACAGCCATAGAGTACACACATCGCCCTAGCACACACATTGCCACAGAGTACACACATTGCCACATAGCACACACATTGCCACATAGCACACACATTGCCAGAGTAGTACACATCGCCAGAGTCCACACATTGCCACAGAGTACACACATTGTCACAGAATACACACATTGCCACAGAGTACACACATTGCCATAGAGTCCACACATTGCCACAGAGTACACACATTGCCATAGAGTACACACATTGCCATAGAGTCCACACATTGCCATAGAGTACACACATTGCCATAGAGTACACACATCGCCCTAGCACACACATTGCCAGAGTAGTACACACATTGCCACATAGTACACACATTGCCACATAGTACACACATTGCCATAGAGCACACACATTGCCATAGAGCACACACATTGCCACAGAGTACACACTTGCCATAGAGTCCACACATTGCCACAGAG